CTGGGGGCGGAGCCGAGGGAGGAAAGAGGAGGAGGGAAAGGAAGGGGGTGGGGACGATCAGAAAGGAGAGACACCCCCAGGAGAAGAGTAGGAGTGGGGTGGGGGAAAGGGGACAGCTCCCGCGGCAGCGAAAAACGAGACCCGACAGAGAAGCGAGGAGCTTTGCGGAGGGCGGGCCGCTCACAGTCCAGAGGAGGTCAGGAAGACAGGGGGTCGGGAGACCCTGTCCTCCATGTGGGAAGAGAGCACGAGGCAGCCCTGCGAAGAAGGCTTCCGAGTCGGATTTTGCGGCCCAGGAATCTGTTGGCACAGATACCCGCTCGCATGTGGGGACTTGAGAAACGTTTCAGGGGACGTCAGAGCCCCGGAAGTGTCCCAGCTCCCCCAGCCCCATCCCGGATCCCTGGCTGAAGGGGTAGGAGGAGGCCTCGCATGAAGTCTGTGGGTCTGCTTAGAGTTAACTAGCACAGACACTATGAGTGACTCCTGAATCACAACCCCAGAAGTGCCAACGATGTACTAGTGTGTTCCACTGAGTCACTTCTCTGGTCCCTAAGGACTCACAAACCAAGAGACTGAAAACCCAGTTGGCAAGCAAATGCTTTAATGGCGAAAGGGAGGCCAATGGAGTTTCTCTACATTCACACACAGGCTGTGAGCTCCAAATTGCTGGCCAGCGAGCCTTCCATCAGTCCTCCCCATCCTTGTAAAGTGAGGTTCCCTCCACCTCCTTTGGACTGTCCTGGTAACCTTGAGCCTTCCAGGACTCGTTCCTGGGCTTAAGCTTTCTCCTCCATCAACCAGGGTTTGGAATTAATGATCCCAACAGACTTAGTCCTCTCTGACTCAATATTTCCCTCCCTATCATCTCGCCAGGGCTTTCTACACCGCAGCACTGAACAAGTGATGAGCAATGGATGGGGTAGGTGTCCTGTGCAAGACTTGGTCCCCTGTGCTACAACAGCAGATCAAATCCTCAGTTTGTGTATTGAGGATTCGGGACAGAAAGCTTTGCATCTTGTCTGCTGCTTTTTTATCTCATCCTAATTTTTAAAGGGAAGGAAAAAAAACCCAACCCATTGCTGTGAAGTCGATTCCGACTCATAGCGACCCTATAGGACAGAGTAGAACTGCCCCCACAGGGTTTCCAAGGCTGTATGTAATCTTTACGGAAGCAGACTGCCACATCTTTCTCTGGTGGGTTTGAACTGCCAACCTTTTGGTTAGCAGCCGAGCACTAAACTACTGAGCCACCAGGGCTCCAAACAGAACAAAGTGGGAAATAAAGAAGATCCCTCAGAGAAGGAGGCAGGGAGTGGAAATACTGTTTCACCCACTCAACAAGCATCCCTGGGCCCCAGCTTTGTGCCAGACAAGTGAGCCAAGTGCAGGAATCCAAAGGCGAATAAGGTGTGGGCTCACCTGCCGTGAGGTTGAGAAGTAGACAGGGAGAGTCATTAAAATCCAGCGGGGTAGGCTATGGGTCACTGTAGAGATGCGCACAAAGCACTATGGGCATATGAGGCTGTGGTGGGAGTGACCACTAAGAAAAGGCTTTTGATAAAGCTAAAAATTGGTGAAAAAACAAACCCATTTAATAAGCCAATCCACTTCCCAGCTGGCAGGGATTCTACACTCCAGACTGGAGTCAGCGTTAAAAGTATCCACAACCTAGCCAGCACAACTAACCAGGAGTTAGGTTCTGTCATCTGTTTATCAGGAGCCCTGGTAGTGCAGTGGTTAAGCGCTTGGCTGCTAAACAAAAGGTCGGTGGTTCAAAGCCACCCACCGCTCCACAGGAGACAGATGCGGCAGTCTGCTCCCATAAAGATTTACAGCCGTGGAAACCCTATGGGGCAGTTCTGCTCTATCCTGTAGGGTCGCTATGAGTCGGAATGACTCAATGGCATCTGTTTATCAGTTAGGAATATTTTGTTACAGATAAGAAAACACCCTTTCTGTCTTAAAACAAAGTTTACTGGCTCACATAACTGAGCATTTCTCACTGAAAATTTCAGGTAAGGTTTGGTCCAGCAGCTCAGAACTATCACATGGGATTCCTTTTCTTTCCACCACTCCTCTCTGCCTTTCATGGGGTCTACTTCATCCTGAGGCTCCCTCTTCATGGTCACAAGATACCTGGCATCATTTGCTGGGATTGCTTTTGATCTCATTCTGAGATGGGGGTGGGAGGCATTACTCAGCATTGTCCTCAAAGGTGCAGAGATTCCCTCTGATTGGGCTTGCTTTAGGTCATAGGCCATCCCTAAACCAATGACTGTGGCCTGGAAAATAGAATGTGCCAACTGGCTGGGCCAAGGTCCCATATACTTCATCCCTAGACTGGAGTCATGCCAGCTTCCCTGCAACCACCTGGATCTCCTATAGGGAATTGGGGTCTGCTGGGAAGGAGGAATGGGTGCAGAGGAAGAAGGCCCCGTCATCTACTCCACGCAGCCACCATGAGGCTGCGTGATCTTAGGCAAGGCCCCTCCCCTCGCAGGACCTCAGTTTCCTTAGTGCCAAATGACAGGTTGTCGTGTCCCCAGAACTCCCCCTCAATGGAGTTTCCCAGTCACAGCAGAAGATGCCCAGGGGACCCTGGCACCCCCTGCCCTTTGGCCTGTCTTTGCTTCAAGGTCTCTGCTGTAGTTTCCCCCGAGCAACAACGATGTGATCTGCTTCCTCCACGTGACACATTTAGCCACAGTGCTTTGGGGCCCGTGCTCTGGCTCGGTTCCCTCGGGCCACAGGTTTAAGGAGTGAGATTAAGGATCCAGGCCCCTGAGTCCCTGGAGAGAGAGAGCTGTTTGTTTGTCTCGACTCATAAAAAGCCAGGTAAGAAAGAGGTTTAAAAGCTCCAGGCAAGTTATGGACGTCATAAACAGCTTATGTGATGTTTTTAGGATGAAAAATCATCTGAGATAGAAAAGCAGGGAAGGCAAGCTCCTTGGGTCACTGGGACAAACTTCCTGCCCAAGACAGCAGCACCTTCAGCGTCTGTAGGTGAGGAAGTGAGACAAAGGTGAGGCAGAGACATCATGAGACAGAAGAGCGAACATTGGGGAGGGGGAAGGGATGAATTTCGGAGTATTTGAAATGCTCACCTCAGTAAGAGGGGCTACGGTCTGGGCAGTACCAGAACCTCTGGGGGGCAGGGAGTGGGCATCGTAAGTCCTCCAAACCAACCAAGAGCAGCCACTTTGCATTAGCTTTTGTAGGTGGCACAAAGGGGGACAAAGCCTGAAGCATAAGTCCAAGCCGAAGGTACTGCCTTAGATCGGCAGCAGCCCTAGCAACTGCAGCAAGTCCCCTTAGAATATTGAAAGCTCATTCAGTCATTCACCAAAGATGTACTGGACCCTATTATATCCCAGGCATCATGCTGGGCAAGGGAAAGGTGGGTATGTATAAGATTCCCAGGAAGTCACCAGTGCCTCAGTGGTAGAATTCTCACCTTCCATGTGGGAGACCTGGGCTCAATTCCTGGCCAAAGCACCTCACGGACAGCCACGTCCATCAGTGGTGGCTTGCATGTTCCTATAATGCTGAACAGGTTTCACTGAATCTTCCATACTAAGAAGTACTAGGAAGAAAGGCCTGGAGATTGACTTCTGAAAATCAGCCAGCGAAAACCCTATGGACCACAGTGGTCTGATCTGAAGCCGACCATGGGGATGACGTGGGAAGGAGCAGTGTGTAGTTCTTTTGTGCAAGGGGTCGCCACGAGTCGGGGCTGACTTGATGGCGGCTAACAGGTGGTACATATGGCTAAGCCCTCAATTACTGGCCAGACGGTTGGCAGTTCGAACCCTCCGGGTGGCGCCTCAAAAGACAAATCGGGTGATCTGCTTCTGAAAGGTCACAGCCTTGAAAACCCTGTGGAGCAGTTCTATTGTGCACACATGGGGTCACCATGAGTCAGGGTCCCCTTGAAGGCAATTAACAATAGCAACAACACCAATGGCAACAACCCAAGATTTCCCCAAGGAAGTTAATCCGTCAACACGTAGTTCTGAGCTCCCAGAGGTGCCTGGCACTGAGGTCGGAGCTATCAGGGAAATTTCGGAGGAGAGCGGTCTTCCGGAAACTCTAAACTGGCCAGGCGGATGAGACAGGTACATAGACAACAACGGCAGCGGTGGTGTGTGGAGTGGTTAGGAGCCAGATTGCCCAGGCTGAATTCCTGGCTCTGCCAGTTTTTAGCTGAGACTTCTAGGGCCGATAGTTTACAATCTCTGTGCCTCAGTTTTCTCATCTGTGAACTGGAGATAGTTATAGGACCTTTCTCAGAGGTTTTTTTGTGATGATTAAGTGAGATAACCCCTGTAAAGATTTTTTTCATACAGAGTGACACATAGTAACTGCT